TTGAAGCATTTATATCTTAATATAGTGATCCTTCCTCTCAATAAAAGATAGCAATCTATTATCCAGTGATTTTGGTTTAATTCTATTACTCCATCAGATTCAATTTCAACATGGAGGTTTTTAGTGCTTCGTTTTTTTAGTTTTGTTTTGCGGTCACATATTTACCGTTTTCATATAATTTCATTTTCACAATTAACCATACATTTTCGATCGGATTCAGATTGGGACTTGATGGTGATCATTCCATTATCTTCTCTTCTGTAAACATTTCATGATCAAAAACTTTCTTAGATACATCCGAAAGATCATAGTCAAGCATAAATACAGACTTTACTTTGAAACAGCGAGGCTGTATCTTGAACCATTCAAAGAAAATCTTATCAATGAAATCGTAATAGTTAGCACCGTCCAGTTTAACTCCGTCATCGACTTTGAATGGCTCGATAATAGTTTGGTCGACAATTTCAGCCCATATCATTACACAAGCACCTCATTATGGCCTTCCTTTAGCCATAGTCACATCTGCATCGGATATGATGAACCCTTTGGCCCATCCATCAGATCCATAGAGTGTCACCCGAGAGTCGTCTATAAAAATTACGTGAGAAAAGTCAGTTTTCATGTGTTTATTTGTCCTATTTTAAGCCTTTGAAATATTTGCTTTACTGAGTGAAGATTGCCTAAGATTTTTTGACACGTCCCAATATGCAGAGTATTAAACACCATTTGTTCTTCTTGATTCCCTCAATTCCAGCTTGTTCAAATATCTGAGCATTGGTCAAAAGTGGTTGTTTCTCTATAACTCGCTTTAGTTTACGTTTCCCTCCAGGAGACAAGTTCTTAAATCCTTTTCTTATGTTTCTAGTTCTCAACTTAGTCATATTTTCAGCAACCCTCTTTATCGTTCGGTGATTTCTGCAGAGCTCCTTTTGATATCACCGTTGTGGATATTCCCTCACTCGATAACCGTATATTCGGTTTTCCAGCATTTGTTAAATCTTTTCTATTACCCATTTTTTAACAGATTGCGGAAAAAAAAGATGGGACGATAGATTTTATCTGATGCTTTTGTGGCTAAAAGAAGACAGCAAGGAGGAGACAGTGTAATGATATGAGCTGGATTTTCGACCAAACCCTTATTGAACCATTCAATTCCATGTTGCGATTTCATGGTCAAGATTTTCTTTGAATTTTATAAATTTCATCCTCGCAGTTTCAAAGTGAAGTGTCTATTTATGTATGACAGTGCTCCTTATCTAAGGATACTCGTGAATTTTTTGAGCATAAAAGGTATACAGGAGAGACGATAATGGAATGGCCACCATCAAGTTTTGATCTGAATCCGTTCGAAAATCTATAGTCAGTTGTGAAGATGAAATTATATGAAAACGGCAAACAATATGACAACAATGCAGACCCATGGAAAGTAATTAAAACCACCATGTCGGAAATTGAACCTGCTGAAATAAAAAAAAAAATTAACAAAATCAATGGATAATAGATTGCTGGCTTTTATTGAGAAGAAGGGTCATTATATTAAAATATAAACGCTTCAAACACTTACATAATTGTTATTTATTCTATTATAAGTTTTGATCAATTGTTAATAATTTTATTAACTTGTTATTGAAGTAAAAAATGATTTCCTGGTTTTGAAGAATAATTTCAGACTGCTGTTTTTATAATAAATCCAATAACTTTAATAAAACATCTTGAAACTCTCTAAAATTTAACGTAAGACGTCTAAAATAATCATTTAAAAAACTGTTCAAAGCAAATTCAAAGTTATTGAGGTTTATGTGATTTGCATAATAACTTCAGACGGACTGTATATATAATTAGTAAAAGAGAAAGAGAGAGAGAGAGAGAGTAGATAGGTAGAAGAGAACAAAAGAAAGAACGCTGTTTATATCGAACCAAAGCGAGGAAATGATGCGCGGTAAGTAATCTCTGGACCGAAGACTCCACAAGACTCTTATGACGCCATTGTTTTGTGTTCCTTCATGTTGTCGGGAAAGACAGTTGAGTTTCAGTGATCAAAGTCTGGCCTCATCTTGTGCGCGTGACGCTACATTAAGTGCGCTGGAACATTACACGGCCCATCTAAACTGGAATCATTCAAGTTGCTTTGAGGAGTAAGCCTTGCAACACACACACACACACACACTTACCTGAAGAAGAAATATAGAAAATACTTTCAAAAACCTCCAAAATCGTTATTATTTCATCCAGAACACTAAGAGAAAGGCATGCAAAATATACGAACACATACAAAGATAATGACATTATTAACAATAACAACAAACAAGATAAAGAGAGATATAATAATAATTCCTTAACATCTATTATCCTAAAGAATTTATCCAATCGTATCAATATCAAAATAATTACAATAACATCCAAAACCATTATGGATATAATCAGAATAAAAAAAAACATATCACAATAATAATTCTGAAGCAGATATATATAAAATAAACTATCAAAACTGTTCGTCATAATACATCGGGGAAACTTACAGAAATTTATGAAAACGTATTCATGAACACAAAAAGGGTCTTATACGCAACAATGT